GGGAAGAGGAGGGGGAGGGGTCAGGCAGAGGGTGGGGGGTCCGAGTTACTTCAGACATCTCTCAAAGTAGGTGGCGCCGACGTAGCCCCCCCTCAGGGAGCGGTGGACGTTCTGCTCGAAGAGCCGCCGGTTCGTCTGCAGAACTTCTGCTGCCTCCTTGTTCAGCGGGTCCTCAGGGTTCGGCTCCTGGGGGGGGGGTGTTAATGAGCTCAATTAAAACATTTTAAAATAAAGATTCTATGTAAATATTTGTGTTTTATCAGATAAAACTCAGCCTCCGTCTCTGTAAAACAGCTGAACTCACTAGAAATAGATACTGTAGACCGTAGATGATGGAGTTTATTGTCAGCACAGGTTTCCAGTCCTCTCTGTGGCACAAACAAACAAACAAACAAACAAACAAACAAACAAACAAACAAACAAAGGTTGTGTTTAAAACCTCAGCACAGAATCTGAACTCATTATCTTTAAAAGTCAAACTGACCGCAGGATGTTTAAGCAGACGTTTCCCTCCAGGTCGATGTTGGGGTGGTACACCATCGTCTCACACTTTACCTTGGGGGGGTCGTGGGGGTAACCCTGTCCTACCTGAAACACAGAAAGCCCCTCACACCTGACCTGATTTACACCTGAGACAAAGAAGTGAAAACCAGCTGAAACACAGCCTTACCTTAAAGCTGAAGACAAACTTTCCTCCTTTATAAAAACCCTGAGAGAGAAAAACACCAGGGGTCAGATTTATAAAACTGACGTACGCACAAAACGAGCCCAGAAACCTGCGTACGCTTCTTTTCATGCAAAGTTTGTGATTTATAAAATCCAAACTTGACGTGAAAGTGTGTGGTCCCTCACAGCTCTGACCCATGCTACGCTCATTTTGRAGACAGGAAACTGTGACACAGATGGTGAATTAGAGCCACACTGTGTAATGATCACTGTCAGAGATTTAATTTAATTTAACTTCAGAATCAGACTTAAGATTTTTATTCAACTTTATCATCAACATTAACAGTAATATTTATTCTGCTGCTGCTGAGCCATGAGGAGCTTTGAAATAAAAAACTTAAATCTTAAATAAAAGTTCACACATCTCCTTTCATCTCCTTCCTCCTCATGACCCTGACCCACAGACTCCTCCTCCCTGACCCACAGACTCCTCCTCCCTGACCCACAGACTCCTCCCTGACCCACAGACTCCTCCCTGACCCACAGACTCCTCCTCCCTGACCCACAGACTCCTCCTCCCTGACCCACAGACTCCTCCCTGACCCACAGACTCCTCCCTGACCCACAGACCCCTCCCTGACCCACAGACTCCTCCCTGACCCACAGACTCCTCCTCTCTGACCCACAGACCCCTCCTCCCTGACTCACAGACTCCTCCCTGACCCACAGACTCCTCCCTGACCCACAGACCCCTCCCTGACCCACAGACTCCTCCCTGACCCACAGACTCCTCCCTGACCCACAGACTCCTCCCTGACCCACAGACTCCTCCTCCCTGACC